CTGTAAGACAGTAATTAACTCTTGTAATTCTTTTGGAATTGTTAACTCCGATCCAATAATAATAATTGTTTTAGGTTGCAATTTTAAAATTCGACTAATATTTCGAAGCTTTCTTGAAATAGAAAGATCTGTTAAAAACCGATTGAAATCTTTTAATAAAAATAAAGCTGGGGTTTCCGAATTGAGCCTTTCTACAAGCTCCAATGCTTGTAACGGATTTCGTTTTGCAAATCCTTCGTTATTGGGATTATTTGTATAACCATCGACAAAATCCCAACTATAAATGCTACGATTTAAATTTGTTTTTACATTTTTACGGATGATATATTCGACTCGATCTTCTTCGACTGTGGTAATATAAATAATTGGATAACGAGCTTTTAAAAAAAGCGCTAATTCACTAGTAAATTTCATAATAAATTTATTCAAAAAATTAGTTTCCTTAAACTAATATTATAGCAATTTTAAATAAAAAATGATTGTATCAGAGTCATTTAAAAAATGACTCTAATAATTGTAGTTGAATTTTAACGACGAATCGTTAATGCTTTTCTACCTTTTTTACGACGATTTCGAATCGTTTTACGACCTTGAGCTGTTGACATTCTGCTTCTAAAACCGGACAATTTTAGAATGGAATACCGACTTTTATTGGAAAGTGTACGTTTTGTCATAATTTAGTTATTTTTATAAATAAATATTTTTATAGAATGTATGATCGTAAAAAATCATAGATAATTAAGTGTCGAAGAACTTTTACTTGTTCAGAAAACATTCCAAATGCTTCTCTTTTGTATTCATACAAAGGATTTTGTTGACCATATCCACGCCAACTCACTGCATCACGCAACAATGTAATTTTTTGTAAATGTTCTTGCCAAATTTGATCAATATTCAATAGAATAATTCCTTGCTCAAATTTTTGACCAATAGATAGACCATAAATATCAAATTCGCTTTTTCGTGCTTGATAGATTAACCAGAATTCAGTTATTAAATAACGCTTTAATCCCTCCAAATCTTTGTTATTGAGTATTAGATTTTTACCAGACAAATTTTCAAATAATGTTATCATTTCATTGTATGAAAGTTTTTCTTTGTTTAAGTCTACTACAATATCTGTTAAAATCTGCTCACCCAAGACTAGCATGATTTTTTCAAGAGCTTGATTGGCCAAAATTCCTTTTCGATCAGTATAAATTATTTGTCGCTGTTTATTTAAAATTTCGTCATAATCAAATAGGTTCTTTCTCTGTTGATACGCTCGCTCTTCCACTCGTTGTTGGGCTAAGTTTAAACTTTTTGTAAGCATCTTTGATTCTAGTGGTGCATCATCGGTCATTTGAGCTTGAAGAAATGTTTGAATTTTTGGACCACCAAATAATCGTAAAAGCGTATCGTCGAGGCTTAAGAAAAATTGCGAAGTACCAGGATCTCCTTGGCGACCACAACGACCTCGTAATTGGTTATCCACCCGTCGAGAATCATTCCTTTCTGTTCCGATGATATACAATCCACCCAAGTTTTTTACAATTTTATTTTCTTGTTGTTGATGTTTTTTGTAATAATCTTGCAATTCATTTATCAAACATTTAATAGAACATTGATACGAATAATTTGGGATTGAAATTTTATCATTTTCTCGTAATGTTCGTAAAATTTCGACATCGGACAATTTTAAAAAATTTGAATCATTCAATACCGAACAAAGAACACTTAAAAACTTTTGAGAATTACAATAAAATCGAGCTTTTAACGATGACTCAAAAATAGTTATTTTCTTAGCAAGTATATAATTCCGTGAAAAGGTTAAAATATCATACAATTCTCTTTGAACAGTAAAAGAAGTATTTCCTCCAAGTATAATATCAGTTCCTCGACCAGCCATATTTGTTGCAATTGTAATGGCACTTTGTTTACCGGCTTGAGCAACAATCTCCGATTCGCGCCGAACGTTTTCCGGCTTTGCATTTAAAAGTTGATACGATAATTGATATTCATTTAATAATTCAGCTAACATTTCTGATTTCTCAACCGTTGTCGTTCCAATCAACACTGGCTGACCTGTCGATGAAATTTGGTTGCATGTTGTTGCAATTGCATTCCATTTTGAAAATTGATCTTTATAAACTAAATCTGTCAAATCATTTCTTAATGGAGGACGTGCGGTTGGAATCTCATCCACAGATAATTTATAAATTTTCTCAAATTCAATCTCAGCTGTTTTCCCCGTTCCTGTCATACCTGATAATTTTGGATATAAAAGAAAGAAATTCTGATAGGTAATTGCAGCCGCTGTTTCAGACTTTTGACGAATTGGTAATTTTTCTTTGGCTTCAATGGCTTGATGAAGTCCATCTCCCCATCGTCGATCTGGCATAATTCGACCAGTAAATTCGTCTACAATAATAATTCGTTCATTTTGAATAATATAATGAACGTTATTTAAAAATAGAGTATTCGCTTTAATTGCATTGATAACATATGGAATCCACGGCTGACGTGGGTCATATAAATCTTGAACCTGTAAAATATCTTCAATTTGTTTACTGCCTTTCTCTGTTAAAACAATATTCTTGTTTTTTTCATCAACGGTAAAATGAACGCCAGAATTTAAATAGTTTGTAATTTCTGCCGCAATTATATATTTATCAACAGGGGTTTCTATACTATTGGAAATAATTAACGGAGTTTGAGCTTCATCGATTAATACTGAATCAACTTCATCAATGATACAATAATTAAAAGGTCGTAATACAACATCGGATGAGTTTAATGCCATATTATCATATAAAAAATCGAATGTAACAGCATAATTCGTAACATACGTAATATCTGAATTATAATTTTGTTTTCGTTCCGATTTAGACATATCATCCTGAATTAAGCCAGTTTGAAATCCTAAAAATTTATAGATTTGGCCCATGGAAGCTTGATCACGACTAGCTAAATAATCATTGACCGTAATAATATGAACACCTTTTTCTGTTAGTGCATTTAAAGAAGCAGACAACGTAGCAACTAAGGTTTTCCCTTCGCCTGTTTTCATTTCTGCTATTTTTTGATCATTTAAAACCAGTCCACCGATTAATTGAACATCAAAATGTCGTAAGCCAAGAGTACGGACACTTGCTTCTCGCGTTAATGCAAAAGATTCAGCAATGACAGAATTTAAATTTTTAGATTCTTGATATCGCTTCTTCAATTTTGAGGTCTGAGTTCGCAAATCATTGTCACTCAACATTTGAAAAGTTTCTTCCAAATTATTGATTTGCGAAATGACGGTTTGATATTTTTTAAATATCGGACTTTTTTTTAATAGATTTTTTTCCATTCAAAATTAGTTCATTAGTTTTACACAACAATGTTTATACGTTTCTTTTTACCTTCTTGGTAATCAAATTTTAAAATTCCATCTTTTAATGCAAACAAAGTAAAATCTTTCCCACATCCCACATTACTCCCTGGCTTAAATTTCATCCCACGCTGACGAACAATAATGTTACCAGCTCGAACTTGTTCACCTCCAAATCGTTTAACACCTAATCGTTTTGCATTAGAGTCACGACCATTTTTTGTACTTCCAGCCCCTTTTTTATGTGCCATATTAATTTACTCCTTTTTTTAATTGATAACAATATCTTCAATGAATACTCGTGTTAAGTCCTGACGATGACCTTGTTTTTTTCGAGTTTTCTTTTTTGGACGCATTTTATAGACAATTGTTTTCTTACCACGAAAATGTTCTAAAATTTTTCCTTTTATTTTAACACTTTCTAAATAGGGTTGTCCCACTAATAAAGTTCCATCATTATTTAGTAATAAAACTCGGTTTAATGTTATCTGTTTCCCTAAATCTGTCGGAATTCGATTAAAATCATAATATTTCCCTGTTTCAATCCAAAATTGTCTCCCGCTAATCTCGACAATTGCATATTTCATAGTCTAAATTAATTTATTTTTATTTATCCGTAATGATACTAAAATTTTTTTAAAACCGTCAACTTTTTTAATGCTAAGATGTTATTTTTTGCTTTTTGTTTGTAATCTTAGTAATTCTTTATAAAATAATTCAAACGTTTTAGATTTATAGCATTCGGGATTGCTGATAATTGACAATTGGCGATTAATATTAAGATTTTCAATTTCTAAAATTTGAATTTGATTTAATTTTATTTCCTTTTCAAGTGATGAAGACGATACAAAAGCAGCTCCTAGTCCTAAGCTTACAGCAGTTTTAATTCCCTCAATCGAGTTTAATTGCAAAATAGTTTTTAATTCATGGGTCCGAATTTTATTTTGAATTAATATTTTGTCGATAAACTTTTTAATTGTAGAAGTGGAATCTAATGTTATAAAATCTAAGCAGTATAAATCTTCTTTTGTAATTCGTTGTTTTCTTGCAAAAGGATGAGAATTAGAAATGATTAAACATAATTCGTCATAAACAAAAGGTTGAAGAGTTAATTTTTTTTGCAGCTCACTAGAAATTTCTCCTCCCACAATAGCAATATCTATTTCTCGTCGAATTATACTTGTTGCAATAGTTCGGGTAGAATCAACTTGAACTTTTAAATCGATTTGTGGATAATTTTGAGCAAATAATGCTAAAATTCGAGGCATTAAATAGGTACCTATCGTTTGGCTGGCACCAACTGTGAGGTTCCCTCTCTCGCCATTTTTTAAATCAATTAAGGCGCGACAACTTTCTTCACAAAGAATAAGTATCCGTTCTGAGTATTGTAAAAAAATTTTTCCGCTTTCTGTTAAAGAAATTTGACTTCGTTCACGATTGATCAATATTGTATCAAGATTCTCTTCTAAAATCTTAATTTGTTTACTTAATGAAGGTTGGGAAATTGATAAACTTGAAGCTGCTTTAGTGAAATTTTTTTCAGTTGCAATGGCTCTTAAAATTCTAAGTTGCTGAAGGGTGAAAGGAAGCATAGTTGGGATACTTTAATAGATTAATAGACTAAAAAAGGAGTTAAAAATTGAAATGCGAATGGAGAGACTCGAACTCTCACAACCGAAGTTACTAGAACCTAAACCTAGCGCGTCTACCAATTCCGCCACATTCGCTAATTAAATAATTTGGAGGGTGCCAATTTTAAAAATTATAAATCTTTCAATATGGATTATATTTGAAAGATTTATTCTGCTTCATCAATGTATACGCTATAGACAAAACTTGTTGGTTTTCCTCGTAACATTGATTTTGCCAATGATAAAGATTTTTGAGCTGCTTTAAAACCTTTTTGTTTCCAATTCGCTTTACGAGCATTTTTTTTTGCTTTTGATGTTCTTTTCTTAGGTACTGCCATTACTGTTTATGATCGAATATAAAGTTAAGTTCTAGATATAGTATATCATTTTCGTTGAAATGTCAAATTTCAATGGTTAACCTTTGCTTCTTTCTTGAGTTAATTTTTATTTGCATTTTTCAAACTTCAATTAACTCAAGAAAATAATTTTAATTTGAAATTTTTCTAAATTGGAGAATTAAATTATCTCGGCTTTTTTCAATAAATAAAAAACAGTCTTAGTTGGTTTCACACCAGAGTCTAACCATTTTTTAATTTTTGTACCATCTAAATTATATTGTTTAGAAATTGGATTATAGTATCCTACTTCATCAACCGGTCTTCCATCCCGTCTGCAACTATTTTCGATAATCACTAATCTATAAGAGGGAGCCCGCTTTCTTCCAGTTTTTTTTAATCTTAATTTTAGCATAATAATAGTTTGTAATAATTTTTATCGACGTGAATAGTATTCAATTACTAATAACTCGTTTAATTGAAGTTGAATATCATTTCGATCACAGTAATCTAAAACTGTTCCTTCTAACTTTGAATCATCAAATTTTAAATTATAAGGTATTTCAGTACGTTGATTATTTTTAATATTATTGATAATCAAATTTTTAGATGTACTTTTGTCTTTAACGCTAATAGTATCATTTAATCGACATTGGAAACTCGGAATATTAATAACTTTTTTATTGACAGTAATATGACCGTGATTAACTAATTGGCGTGCTTGGGCAATACTACTTGCAAATCCTAATGTAAAACAAAGTGTATCCAACCTCATTTCTAGTAATTGAAGTAAGATTAAACCAGTAACACCTCTCCGACGTCGAGCTTCTTTTACATACCGAAATAACTGACTTTCTGTCAATCCATAGTTAAATTTCAGTTTTTGTTTTTCTTCTAATCGGATTCCATATTCCGTTAATTTTTTATTCTTATCTTCGGATGTCCCCTCTTTCCCTGGACGGTTTAATTTTTTTGATTTTTTAGTTGTCAAACCGGGTAAGACACCTAATCGTCTACTAATTTTTAATTTTGGTCCTCGATAACGTGACATAGATTAATTTGTACTAGAAATAACTTTTTAAAAATACTAAAACATAATTCAATCAACAAGGGCGAGTGACCGGACTTGAACCGGCGAATGGTGGAACCACAACCCACTGCCTTAACCACTTGGCTACACCCGCCATATTGTCTTGACTAATACTGTACCAGTTAATATGATTAAACGTCTAGATAGTTTAACAAAAATTTTTTATTAGAAAGTATGACTAATTTCAAACACTTTTTACTGAACGGAGAAACCTATAGAATTGATCACGATATTAGTTTATTTGATTTACTAACGTATTTTAATTATAACGATTCCTTACTAGTTTTAGAGCATAATCATTTGATCTGTGAGAAAAATAAATGGAAAACCACTTTTATTCAACATTCGGATGTAATTGAAATTGTGACAATTGTTGGTGGTGGATAATTCTATAATTATTATAGAATTATCTTTTTAAACTTATAAATTCATTCATTTTAATGGAGGAAAGATTTAAAAATCACGAATCAAGTGACGAATCGATTAATATTTTTTCTATCAACAAATTTTCGACTGTTAACTATATGGACAAATTAGTTCGGTATAGTTTACAATCGTTCAAATGAGATCATTTTTAATTCAATTGATAAAAATAAATTTCTAGTAAAAATTTGGGTTTATGGAACTTTAAAATCCCCTTTAAGAAATAGAACGTCCTAGTACTAATTTTATAAAAAATTCAAAGCTTTGATAAAACAAATGATTTTATTAACTAGCTTTTGTAAAAACTAAACCATTTGTTTCACCATATCTCTTCATAAATCGCATAAATCGATTCCATGCATCAGGGTTTTTCATAATATAGATGGATTCAATCGATTCGGGTTTCCCATTAATAAATCTGGCATTGACATCTCTTGTTTCTAAAATACCTTCTTCATCAATTAAATACATTCCAGTAATTTCACCTTCTTTAATCGTAGTTTTATCTAAAATATTAGGATTTTTAAATCGAAATGTCGCTGTACCTGTACTTCCATCCCGAGATCTTGTTAAACGAACATCCGGTAAGACTTTTTCATCTAAACCTCGTATAAATTGAATTTTGGCTTCCATATTTTTATCTTTATCTTCAATTAAAAATAAATCGTAATTCCTTTTTGTAAAGATTATGCAAATTTAATTCCACAAATACAATAGTTTCGATTTTAAAATCTAGTAGCGATTAATAAAACTGGGGTGGCAGGATTCGAACCTACGAATGGCGGAGTCAAAGTCCGCAGCCTTACCACTTGGCGACACCCCAAAAAACAGAAATAAATAAACACTTAAAAGTACTTGATTGGGCAAGAAGGGATTCGAACCCCTGACACCGTGGTTCGTAGCCACGTGCTCTAGTCCACTGAGCTACAAGCCCAAAATTACTTCTGTTAACAGAACTATACTATATCTTTGTTCTATTAGTAAAGTAAAAAGAATGAATAAAATTAATTTTTTAACTTGCCAGCAATTCCACTAATCAACTAAAATTTTGTTTCAAGTATTTTTAATTAATACTAATATTTAACTGTTTACTGGGAAAAGATATGGCCAAAAAAATTTTATATCAAGATAATGCTCGACGAGCACTCGAACGTGGAATGGAGATAATGGTAGAAGCTGTTTCAGTGACATTGGGTCCAAAAGGACGAAATGTTGTCCTAGAGAAAGCTTATGGATCTCCTCAAATTGTCAATGACGGAGTTACTATTGCCAAAGAAATCAATTTGGCTGACCATATTGAAAATACGGGTGTTTCCTTAATTCGTCAAGCAGCTTCAAAAACAAATGATGTTGCTGGAGATGGAACAACTACTGCTACAGTTTTAGCATATGCAATGGTCAAAGAAGGATTAAAAAATGTAGCAGCCGGAGCCAATCCAATTTCTATTAAATTAGGCATGGAAAAAGCTGCTCAATATTTAGTAACGCAAATTAATGAATTTGCTCAACCGGTAGAAGATATTCAATCTATTCAACATGTTGCTTCTATTTCGGCGGGAAATGATGAAATCATTGGATCCTTAATCGCTGATGCATTAGCCAAAGTTGGGAAAGAAGGAGTTATCTCTCTTGAAGAAGGAAAAGGAATTACCACCGAGCTTGAAATTACAGAGGGAATGAAATTAGAAAAAGGATTTATTTCTCCTTATTTTATTACGAATACCGATAAAATGGAAGTTTTATATGAAAATCCTTATATTTTATTAACAGATAAACGAATTACATTGGTTCAACAAGATTTGTTACCTATTTTAGAACAAATTACAAAAACAAAACGACCACTTCTGATAATTGCCGAAGATGTAGAAAAAGAAGCTTTAGCAACACTAATATTAAATAAATTGCGTGGTATTGTTAATGTTGTTGCCATTCGAGCTCCTGGTTTTGGTGAGTTAAGAAAACAAATGTTAGCAGATATTGCAATTTTAACTGGAGGCACTGTAATTACCCAAGATGCTGGCTTAAGTTTAGAAACTATTCAACTTGATCTATTGGGTCAAGCTCGGAGAATTATTATTAACAAAGAAACAACTACAATTGTTGCGTCTGGTCAAACTTTAAATGATATTAAAGTTCGTTGTGAACAATTACGAAAACAAGCCAATGTTGCGGATACTGCCTATGAAAAAGAAAAATTACAAGATCGAATTGCCAAATTATCGGGTGGAATTGCAGTGATAAAAGTTGGCGCTGTCACAGAAACTGAAATGAAAGATAAAAAATTGCGATTGGAAGATGCCATTAATGCAACTCGTGCTGCTGTCGAAGAAGGAATTGTTCCGGGCGGGGGAGCAACGCTAACTCATTTATCAGAAAATCTTATTACGTGGGCAAAAAATAATTTAAAAGAAGATGAATTAATTGGGGCCTTAATTATATCACGAGCAATTTTATCCCCATTACGACGAATTGCTGAAAATGCAGGAGTCAATGGTCCAGTTGTTTTAGAAAAGGTTCAAGAACAAGATTTTGAAATCGGATATAATGCAGCTCAAAATACATTTGGAAATATGTATGAAGAAGGTATTGTCGATCCAGCCAAAGTAACTCGTTCTGGATTACAAAACGCTACATCTATTGCAAGCATGATTTTAACCACTGAATGTATAATTGTAGATGATACGATAAGTCCAAATTAAAGTTTTAAACCAAATTTGAACTTGGTAGCTTTTAGTATTCAAGTTAAATACTTAACTAGAAAGAAAAAAAATTGTTACTTATCTATTACTAGGAATCATTTTTAACGTTATTATAGCGTTTTAATTTTGCTTATTAGTATATAGATAAGTAATTTTAGACGCCCCTACTTACTAACAACCACCCCAAGGTAGTTTAGATTTTTTACAACACCAGACAACCACCTTACAGCCCACTGATACAGGAATTGTTATGATCGAGGTAACGTTTGGGCCGGGTATAAACGATGTACATATCTGTAAACCATCAGCGGCTACTCCAACGGCCGAGACAATTGCACAAACTCCATCTTGGCACGCAAGTGCTTCTGCTACATCTACAGCCCCCTTGGCCAGACCAGCAGTTCCCGTAGTAGTGCCTACCACTTTCGATACGTATGTAAAAGTTTTGTCTGCTTTATCAGAAAGGTTTACAATTTTGTCTACGCTGTTGTTAATTACCACTAGTTTACTTGGAATGAACATCACAATTTTTTTCATTAAATTAAACAT